TGCTACTGCTACTGCTACTGCTCCCAATATTAATACAAGGTACATCAGGACGACCTCACCGGGCGGAACTACCCTTTACTGAAAGAGTTCCTCTTGGAGTTTGGTGCAGAGGTGCCAAGCCCCGCTGATTTTCAAGTCCTTTGGCTGCATGGGTTCGGTATGCGATATCTAGAGAGTCTCATGCCTTGACAGACCAGTGATCATATTTAATGTGCTGGTTGAGGCCGGTGTCGGATTGGTGGCTGTAACCATATTTCCTGGAACGGAGTTTGCAGTGAAGGGTGGCAAGGGGCGGATTCGATCTTGGGCATCGGCCCAAGCATCTCTCCTCAAGGCGCTGGTGTCTTGGATCACCCGCCAATCAATCCGTAGTGAAGGCGCAAGGTCTGAGAAGATTATGGTTTTGAAGAAGATCCTTCAGCTGAAGCGGCGAATTCAGTCTGCCGTAGTGACTGATGCTTGGGAGTGCATTACTTATTGAGTTGAGCAGTGGGACCGGAAAGTTTCATTTGTTTGGTGTGTATGCTTGCCCTAGGAAGGAGCAGCGACTGCTGCTGCTGTGCTGGACCACCCGGTTCCCGATGCAGTGGCCCATGCATCTGATGCATCTGAAGCAGATCCGGTAGTGGAGCATTCGGTTGTCCATGAAGGGGGCCCTGCATCGGAAGCAGATCCGATAGTGGAGCAGTCGGTTGTCCATGAAGGGGTCCCTGCATCGGAAGCAGAACGAAGTGCTGTGCTGGAGCATTCGGAATCCGAAGAAATGGCCCTTGCATTGGCTTCAGAGTACCTGCAGACTTTCGATTCCTGCCTGAAGAAAGCTTGTCTCATGTGGTGAGTGTTTGGTTTCAGAGTCATACATGTGCATGTCGTTCATGCCCTATGCTAGGAAGCAGAAGCACTGTCAAGTGTGCCTGAGTCGGTGATGATGGTTCCCGACACTTGACTAAAAAAAAGTTGATAGAATACCACCCAACCATATACATATGACTGCGGCCCTAGGAAGCAGCAGCTTCGTTGCCTGGACCGACCGTCGCCCCAAAGGCAATGGGAAGGGTTGCTGATGCCAGAGCTTCTTTCAACTCGAGTGCTTGTTGTGGATGTTCCCTAGGAAGCTACATGGACTTCGCACCTTTGGGAATTCCCGGAAGCTTTTGAGGCCTGCAGGCTACAAAGAGTTGATTCATGTGGGCGGTCTTTGAGAAACCATGTGCTTGTTCTAAGGAAGCTGAAGCCGATATTGAGTCTCCTTCGAAGCCAGTGGTCACTCCGGAACGAATGTGTTGGGAGTTCGCAGAGGATTTGCAGTGTGACAGCGAGCAGGACCATTAAAATATGCTTGCAAGTTCAGAATAATATTCCGTGTGTGTGTGTGTGTGTACACGTTTGAGTGCTAGTGTGGCTTATGCAGGAATTGGCCATGCCAAGAGAATGCTTGCTGACCCCTGCTCGTGTACATGGCCTCTACAGGAAGACCCCAGAGCAGGACCATAGAATGAGAAAGCACAGTAGGGTTATAAGTATATAATAAGATCGTGTGTACACATAATAATATTTATCGGTATCCTTATGAATCCGTATTTGATATGGGTTCTCCAGGAGAGGGCCTTGTCACTCTTACGCACTGGGGTGGCCGAGATGGAAGCCCGCAGTGGCATCGATCGAGATCCGTCTCCGGTTCAGAGAGACTTGGGGCCGATGTTTGATGAGGCAGTGCCGATGTCAAGGTCTAGATATGCTTCGATGTGTTGAGTCTCTGCTGCTATATATGCTAGGCTTCTACACCGCGAAAGCCGTCGACTTTGAAGCGTGGGACACCGGAGGGGCCAACTCCGAGCACGGTGTTGATCCCAAAATCCGGTGATTGCTTTGGACAGATGTGTTACGATTCCCCGGCCCAGCTGAACACCTCTGAGCGGGATGCTTTGAAGGATCCGGCTTTTAGGTTGCAACATATGAGGCTCTCCTTTGCTGTGTCATGATGAAGCTGGTGTTGTCAGTGTTGTTGCATGTTTGCCTATCTCAGAATCCTACGAAGCCTGAAGTGGTTCACCACATTCCGTTGGGGCCAAGCTCGAAAAGACCACCGTTGATCCCAGAGACGGCTTTGGCCGACTTGCCCAGTTTCCCGAAGTGGATCCAGAAGGACACCCTCCAGGCCCCTAAGAGCTTGCTTGGTGCAGGAGCAGAAGGATGTTCGGCAGGAGCAAGCTCAAGTGCTTTCGTTGCAGTGCGGGTTACATGTTCAATGGATGTCCTTTTGTATTTGTCTATCGTGTTTTTGACATGCTACTGTCGATGACAAAGGCAGAGTTGGAGGCAGCTCAGCACAAGCACTCCAAGCGCCAGCTCAAGGAAGAGGGCCGTGGCCGCAGTCGCGGCCGTGGCCGCAGTGGTGGCCGAGTTGGTCGCAGTGGCGGCCGTGGTGCTCCCAGCCACGGCCGTGGTGGTCGTGGAAATGGCGGGGGCCGCAATCGGGGCCGTGGCGGTCGGGGGAGGGCACAGGGTGGTGGAGAAGTGGGGGGGTCAGAAAAGGCCACAACACAGACCAAAGAGCATATCAAACCAAAGGCACAGGCCACTGGGAAGAGCAAGGCAAAGGCCACTGGGAAGAGCAAAGCAAAGGCCACTGGGAAGAGCAAAGCAAAGGCCACTGGGAAGAGCAAGGCAAAAGCTTCGGCCAGCAACGAGACCCCCCGCAAAGCCCCGAAACGTGTGGCTGAGTCCCCTGCTGGGGGATTCCTTAGCAAGACTGCGAAGAAGCGAGCTGCTGGCAAAGCGAAGCGAATGCAGGATGCCGTTACGAACTTGCAGTTCCTCAAGGACAATGCTTCGATTCTGAAAGGAATGACTTTCCCAGCTCCGGGCTTCAAGCGGCAATCCTTCTCCGTAGACCCGCCGGAGAGGGGGGACTTCGGTGCAGTGGACAGAGACAATGCAAGCAGCATTGGTATAATCGTTGATCGTGGCTCTTTCTACGTCAAGCATGCCCGCATCGCGCCTGAACTCGAACCGTTTGCACAGGTGTCTTGAAGGGGTTATGTGCTTAAGATGCAGTGTGTTTTTTTATATTACGTTTCGGTACATGTGATCACGGTCTTTCAATATTTAATAACATGGTCCATCCCCCTGTTAGGTCGATGGAAACGGTGGTGCTACGATTGGGTGGAACAAGAGTCCCACCGTGAAGTGGGCGCTCTCGGGCTGCATTGTGCTATGTGGAAACATAGTCGAAGACAGCCACAACAGCCACAGCAACAATTATGAATATCAACAACAGCAACCACAGCAACAGCAATAACAACAGTGAAGACGAGTGCCAGTCATCCTGTCACCGCTGTGGCAGCACTGGCTTGAGGACTGCAATGCAATAATATAGTATTTGACGATGTTTGGAGTTAGATGGTGCACGTGTGTGTGTGTGTGCTTTGATGTTGAGCTACAATTCGTCGCACTGTTCGCCTCCATGTCTCTGTGTGCACAAATAAGCCTACATATGTACATGTATAGACACATAATAATAATGATAAATAAACACATACTATATACGGTTATTTTACTTTCTTGCAGGGTCGCACATGAGGACATACACATACATATATCCACGCAGGCATGCATGCACATGTATGTGGCATACATCTATTATATCTTGCTAGACACGATGTGGCGGTGAAGCTCGTGCTTCGAACAACGTTTCATGTTGTTACCCTAGAACCCTCGCTGAATATAGATTGCACTATTAATACTATATCATAAAATAATACTGCCAAGGTGGGAGTTGGCCAAAGCCGTGGCCGGTTGGACGTCCCCGACAATGGACACCTGCCTATACAATAATCACGAGTCTTCGGAATCGCTAGCTGTTTCGAGATGCTGGTTCTGTGACCTGCCACTACACCGAGGTATCCATGCGTCTTGCTGCCGAGCCGGCCCGTGACAAGTCGACCCAAGCATGATCAATTTTTGCCAGTCGGTGCATAATCACCGTAGGCCGTAGGCTGTGCTTTGTGCTACGTTGCATGTGCACATATGTGTTATAGTGTCATAGGGCCTCTGAAGAAGTACTGAGAAGCACAGGGCCACAGGAACCCAAGACTTCGCACTCGACTGTTTTGCCTGTCGTCTTGTGCCAGCACGATCGAGATCATTGCTTGGTCTAGAAAAGATGCCGTGCACTCTGAGGGCACGAGACTATCAAGGGCATTTTGTATGCTATATCGGCAATACAGCAACTTAAGCTTCATATCCGCAGGTACGAGATCTACACGCAGTTCATCGAGTTCTTCTGTAGGTGCACCCTCCCGTCTGCGACAGGAGTTTGGGGGTCTTACAAAATTAAAAGAAGTTGCTACTGCAACACGGGTGTAGGGTTGAGGGTTTCAAGGCTTAGGGTTTAGGGGTTTAGGGTTTAGGGTTTAGGGTTTTTAGGGTCTGTAGCCGTGGATTCTCGGGCTGGGGCTTTGGGTCTTTAGTTCATGGTCGCGGGGATATGTTGCTTTAAATTTGTTTTGTCAGGTCGTAAATGCAATGTTCTTTCCGTGTGATTATGTCTACAAAGTATCCTGGAATATCAAGGCATCTACAGTCATGAGCTTGCTGGATTTGTGTGTGCTATGGCCTAGCAAGCTGGCAGCCACGAATGTTATCCACAGGAGCTCTGATTCACAGCTGGGGGCTGTGATATGTTGCACGTTGTTCCTATGCATACTAGATTTATAAGTTTAAACAAGACAGCTTCTTTGGCTACACTGGAGGTCTAGCTCTTAACTAGATCGGTGTACTGCCATGGATGCCCCATGCAGAGCCATCGGCCTAACCAGGCTTCAGGTTTGTGCTTTGTTGGCCCTCGGGGCACCTCCAGTTTTGCCGCTTGCCTAAATAAACTGATGGCCAGTGTATCCCGGTTAGGAACTTCTCAAGACAGTAGCTGTGTGCTTAGGATACACGTTGTGGACTTCGTCGCAGCAAATGCCCGAGCCGAACATTACCGTGCCCCCAAACTGCAGCTAATGATCGAGGCCACCTTAGTTATATACAACAAACACAATGGATAGCCCAGGATCTGGATTACTACGAGGTCTTCACTGGTGTGGGAGCTGTGAAACTCGGCTTCCGAAACATGCCTGCACATAGCACCCTCTGAACTCAGCTAGAGCTACATGTCTAAAACCCCACTAACCAAGGAGCCCGCAGCCGGAGGGCGAAACTGGGCACGAATATATATAGTGTCCAATGTTGCACTGCATGCAAACATATCATCTGCTAAGCAGAGCCCGAAACCGTCAATTCTTAAATCGTTGTCTATATCTAGATCTAATAAGGCAAGGTTTCGATGCTGGAAAACCCCCGCTGCACAGCTGTGTCCCTGCTACCGCCTTTGAAATACCTGCTCACCAAGCCGATTGGAGGGAAGTTTGCCAACTGTTCAGGGGCTCAGCTCCTTGGATTGTAGCACCTAGTACTTTCACTGCTGTACACGTCTTAAGAAAACCCGAATATAGTATAACTTACTCCTAGCAGCTAGTACTACGAGAAGTACGACTCGTGTACTCTTGCTACAATATATAGCGAGGATAACTACATTCACAACACCAATATAGGATCAACCTCAGCAACAACAGCAGCCGCAGCAGCAGCAGCAGCAGCAGCAGCAGCAGCAGCACCCCCACCACCAACAACAACAACATCAACATCAACAACAACATCAACGACAACAACAATTACTACTACTACTACTACTACTACTACTACTACTACCACTACCGCTACCCCTACCGCAACCGCTACCGCCACCACTACCACTACCAGTACC